CACTCCTCCATATTCCTCCGCACTCCTCTTCTTCTTCCTCCTCCTCCTCCTCCTCCTCCTCCTCTTCCTCCGCCTCCTCCTCCTCTTCCTCCTCCTCCCCCTCCTCCTCGCTCTCGCCACAGCGCCGCGCACATTCGTCTAAAGTTTGCAGGTGCTTCAAGGATTCGTGTGGCTGAAGTCCCAGGGGCCACAATGATATCATATTCTTACGGGCACTTATGAGGAGGGAACTTGGAGGGAGGGTGTATTGCAGAATCGTTGATGCGTCTTGGATGTGCACTGGTCTTCCAACTCCTCCTCCTCCTCCGCCTCCTCCTCCTCGTCCTTGTCCTCGTCCTCCTCCTCCTCCTCCTCCGCCGCCTCCCCCTCCTCCTCCGAAGCATCGGTCGCACAAAGGTTCCCTTCCTCCCCCTCCTCCCCTCCCTCCTAATAGGAAGGGGGCTCCCGACGAGGACCCCCGAGTCTTCCTCGCAAGTCACTCAAAGACAAGGCCCCTCGAGACATCTTCATAATTTGCTCAGGAAAGAGACTCCCGCGCAAGACTTTCTCGAGATTCAAGCTCCAGAGCTGGAGAAAAAAACGTATGGTTTCACGAGTTGTCCGATGGCCGCCTCGGATTACTAGCATGGAGTGGGGGGTGCAGAGGTAGGGGGTTACTATTCGAGACGCCCTCGCAATTCAGTCACAGACGAGGCCCCCCGAGACATCATCAAGCTGAGCGCATGAATATGTGAGCGTGTGAGAGCATGAGAGTGCGAGTGAGCACGCGACTGTGTGTGCGCGGGAGGTACGGATGATGATGATGGTGATGATGATGATGGTGATAGTGATGATGATGCTGCTGGTGCAGATGGTGAAGACGATGATGATGATGATGATGATGATGATGATGATGATGATGATGATGATGATGATGAGAAGGAAGAGGACGACGACGACAACGACGACGACGACGATGGTGATGATGATGATGATGATGATGATGATGATGATGATGATGATAATTATGGTGGTGGTGACGATGGTGATGATGATGATGGTGAAGACGACGATGATGATGATGACGACGACAACGACGACGACGATGACGATATGGTGATGATGATGGTGATGGTGATGAAGATGGTAATGATGATGATACTGACGACGATGATAGTGATGATAGTGCGTGTGTCTAAGTGTTTGTCATATAACCCCAGCGGACCGGTGGTAGCGAGCAGTGCGTGTGTGCAAGAGTGTGCGTGATAATGCTGCTGAGTGTAAAAGAAAGAAAACAAAAGAAAATTAACTGAGGATGAGGTCCCTCGGTGGGGGGGGGGTCCAGAGATGACACAAACACCACTTACGCAGTGGGGGAAGCCGAAGGACCCCCCACTTCCGCCCAAGCCTAAATATCTGGAACAATGGGGCGAGCACCGCCTTGATATCCTTGCCCCTCTGGCAAAACTGTGTGCAACTCATGGCGACAGTCACGCTGGTGAAAGTGCCTCCTGGTCCCCAGGGGTGTCCGCCGTGGCAGGCCGCCTGCTGGGCCGTGGTGGTTACACGTGAAGCTGGACTGCCAAAACCATCGTTCTTGAGGAGACTCGCTGGGCCTCCTGAGGCTCGAACGTCGTAGAGATCGGCGGCGAGCGAGGGAGGGAAATGAGAAGGGGCGGGCCTGCTCAGAAGGCTCGGAATTTCCCTGGCCTTCTGAGAAGTTTTCTAAGCCTTCCCCGAAGACAAAGAAAACTTCTCTGAAGGCCGGAGGGCTTCTGAGAAGTCGCGCCGCCTTCTGAGCAGGCCTTCTCCTTCTCCCTTCCCCCCCTCAACCGCCTCCGATCCTGAGGCTCGGACGTGGTAGAGAAGCTCTTTCGAGGCTGCTCGGAGAAAATTGCGAGACAAGATCCGTGACCCCGAGACCCCCCGAAGCTCCTCCAGTACGGCCGCCGCGCGCGGGCGAGCACCATGGGGAGCTTGTCGTCGTCCCTCAGGTGCCTCGGCCCAGGCTGCACCGGCCGATGCCGCGCGGTCCCGCTCCGAGGAGGAGGTAGGGGGAGGAGGAGCAGGAGGAGGAGAAGGAGGGAGACGAGGGGAAGAAGGGAGGGGAGAGGAGGAGGAGCAGGAGGACAAGGAATACGAGGAGGAAAAGGGGGAAGACGGGGAGGAAGACGAGGAGGAGGAGAAAGATAGGGAAGAAGACGAGGAGGGGAGGAAGAAGGGGCGGAGGAGGGAGGAGGCAGGAGGGATGCCACACAAGCTCACCAGGGGGCCCTTCCCGATGCCGCGACTCACAGGGACGGGGCTCGCACCGTCGAGCCCCGTGAGAGATTCGCCCGAAGCGCACCAGAACGACGATCAGACGCAGGCGAGGCGGACGGAGACGCACCTGCGCTACCACCAGCGACTCCGAAGGGTGAGGCGTGCAACGCGCATCATGGGGTGCGGGCGAGGAACTCGACAGAAGTCTCCGCCGCGCCCCCAGGGGGCCCGACGAGGGCACCGTGGTGCCCCCCGAGCCCCAACGACGCAGATCGCAAACCACACCCCGGCGTAACCACATCCATTGTAGTCGCCGATGCCATGACTGGCGCAAGCCGGCTGGCGGAACCTGCCCTGGCGCAGCGGGGCCTCTTGAGGGCCTCTCTGCTCGCCTCTGAAAACTTCACGAAGACGTATCCAGGGCCTCCCGAGGGTCTGGGTATCCATTTTGGGGAAGACTCCTGCTGCAACTCATGGCAGCCTCCTGTGCCATCGTGCTGGCGCTTGCCCATCGACGCTATTCGGATAAGATCGACGATAATCGACGCTAACCGATGCTAAATCTAAACTGGTCGACGCTCAAGCAACACTTCCCAATCGACTACCAAACGCTAGCGCACGCGAGCGCACTCTAAAACGGAATTGCGAGGACACACTAGGCTCCCATGATTTGCTGCCGAAGGATGGGGTTCGAGACGTCACTTCGAGCTCCCCATCGGGCCCTTGTTGGGGCCGCCCTGGGGGCCACTTGGCCTAGCTGGAGGGCCGGGGCCCAGAGAGGGGCGCGGTTCTCTGGGCACCGGCGACCCCAGGGCCACGGCGCGCAAAGACACAAAACGGCCCCAGGTTGCGGGGGAGGGGCACACCGCTCCCCCCGCGCGCGGCGTGCCCTCGGGAGCCCGTGCCACCGCCACGGAACTGCGCGAGGGTGCGCGACGCCCTCGGGGCGTCGCCTGGGGAAAGGCGAGAATAGTTTCCCGACCGAATGCTTGCAGGGGGAAGAGGGGCAAGCAAGGCGCACTCGCGCCACATCTGACATCATTCCCGACGCACTCGTCGCTTCTCATTCCGTTGACGCCTAGTCTACTCGCCGAGCGGGGCTGAGAAGGCGGAGGAGGGCAAAGGAGGGGGCGCCACTTGGCAGGAAAGAAAGGATCGCACTCAGAATGCCTACTCGAATGTCGACGGGACGGGGACAAGGGAGGGGCACAGGCGAGGGGAGAGAAAAGAAGGAAGGGGGAATGCTACAGAAGGAGGAAAGGCTCGAGGAGCAGGGGAAGAAAGGAGGTGGAGGAGAAATGAGGAGACAAGGAGGAAATGAGGAGAAGAATGAGGAGAACAATGGCGAGAAGGAAAAGGGGCAGGAGACGAGCGTAGGGGGGGCAACGTTGTCACCAACTACGGCTAGAAACCTCGTGGCCCCCTCTCGACGCCGTGCTCGCCGGCAGCGTCAGCAGCGACGACGGAGGACGCACGCGCAGCGGCCGCGGCGGCAGACAACGCGGACGAGCTGAGGGAGGTGTGCACACGGGGGAGAGAAGTGGGCGAGACGGCAGAGGGCAGCAGCATGGAAGTCGCGAGGGACGAGACGGAGGGGAATGGTCGGCGGGCGGCAGCAGGGGCGGCCGCATCCCACAGGAGCACAGCGTTGTACAGCGGCCTGCGTGTCCGCGTCCGTGGATCGGAAAGCCGCGTTGATTTCAATCAGGGCGCAGGGCTGGGCAGAAGAGAACATGGGAGACAGCTGCAGATGGCAGGGGGAAGAGCGGCGGGATGCACAAGAGCGGAGAGCCGCTCGGTCAATCGAGGCAATGAGGGGCGAGGGAGCGGGAGGGGGGCACGCAGCGGCAGAGGCAAGAATCGCGAGCGAAGGATCAGGAGAGGTAAGGTCAGCACTCTGCAGCATAGAAATAGGGCAGATAGAAAAGATGTTTCTGGAAGCTCTCTTGTGAGTAGGGACAGACTGGATGCGAGGCGGAGCGGAGGCGGGGGACGCAAGAGGCAACGGCGAGAAGGCGGGTGGGCTCACAGATCCACAGGGAGTCGCTCGCGCCATCGAGCCACACGCGGTAGCTGCCGACGAGGGAGCAATCGACCCGCACGCGGAGGCAGGTGTCGACAGCGCCACTGGAGCACACACAGAAGTAGAACAACACGCGGCCACTGAGGAAGGCGGCGCCAGTGGACTACTCGCAGACACTGAGAAAGACGGGCTGACGCCAGAAGATCCAGCAGGTGGAGACGCGATGCCCGAACACGACGACGGAACATGCGATCTAACGCCGGGCGCAGGACCCCCCGCCTCGAGGCATCCAGATCGCGGCGACGTTGGGCCCGATCACGACAACGGGACATGCGATCTAACGCTCGAGGCCACGAGGCCATCGACGAGGCACCCGAAGCATGGCGACGGCTAGCCCGAACACGACAACGGGATTTGCGCTCTAACGCCGTCTGTGGGTGACACCTCGAAGGATCCATCCGCAAGTGGCGAGGGTGAGCCCGAACGCGACAACGGGACTTGCGATCTAACGCCGCTGCAAGCGCTCGACGAGGAAAGCGACTTGCACCCAGCAGGCGGGGACGGTGAGGCCGACGCTCACGACGGCACTTGCGTTCTAGCTGAGCACGTAACGGAGGAGGACGAAGATGAACGAGTAGAGCAACAGGTAGAGCGGCCCCTTCCGCTCGCAGTCCTAGTTTCATCATACGCACCACTGAACTCTAGCGCGGCGCAGGGGTCGTCGCCGTTGAACACCTCAACGCCAGTGGCGATCTCTGTCGGGGTCGTCGATGGCGGGGACACTGCGGGCGTGATCCCAGAACTTGGGCTCCGCGAGCGGCGCGGCGCGGAAGCCATCGGGGTCAACGGCGAGGAGGCCGGCGGAATTAGCTGCGGGGGCGCAGAAGCCGTCGAGGAAGATGACGACGATGAGGATGAGCGGCGCGGAAACCAAGGCTGGAGAAGAGCGCGATCACGAGCAGACATGCGCCGCGGCCGCGCCACGTTCGCCGACCGCGCCCCAGCGAGGGCGCGGGAGGCCAGCTCTTGGAGGGATGGCGGCCAGTCCTCAAGGCGTCAGGCATCGTGGCACGCGTTGCACGCAGCCGCGAGGTAGCGCAACGCCGCGATGGTGGGGTTGAGGAGGCCCTAGCGCAGCAGCACAGGAAGGGGGGGCGGGCCTGTCGAGAGCACGCTGAACAGCACGGTGCAATGGTCTGCGGCGAGCATAGTGGAGTAGGTCATCATCAGCCTGACATCCGATGGCGCATGTTCTCTTCCCCAGAGGGTGCAAGATGCGGTGGGAAGTGAGCCAGCCGTCGGCCCACGCGCGGATCGTCGCCCACGCCCAAGAGCACGGGCAAGACGCCAGCGAGGCGGCGATCCGCTCCCTGGGAAGGCCAGGCAACGCAACGGGCGCGCCGGGGGCGGGGGCGGGCGCCGGCGGGGGAAGCAAGCTCCTCACGGGCGGCGACGGCCACCGCGGGCCAGGCCGCAGACCACGAAGGAGAGGACGCCGAGGGCGAGCCACCCGCAGCCGCCCGCTCCAGCATCTCCACGGACGCCTCAGACCTCCAGAAGCCTGTATACGGTCGCGACGATGCGAGCATTTCCAGGGTGCGCCACGCGTCGTCGGTGCTCACTGACCCCCGAAGACGTCGCAGGATGTCGGCATGGACCTGGGACGCAACCAAAGCCGCACGCCCCAAGCTCGCGCAACCCAGGAAGGCCCATCTGGTCACACGAGGTCCGCCCCAGGATTGAAGCAACAACCAGCACGATAGCGGGGAGGTGCCCAGAGCCACGCGGAAGGTCTGCGCCAGCGCCGCGAGCTCCTGCTTCCGAACTGAGGGCGGCATGTCACAGAACTGCGCGACATGAGAGAAAATAGGCACGGCTGGTGTGCAATATAGAATGGCCGAGATGCTGGGAGGGGCGACCCCGTGGCCGATGACTTGAGCCCGAACGCGCAATTCGGCAACAGGGTCGCGCCATTGGCGGTCAATCGTTACAGCGGGGCCCATCCACAGACCCAAGTACTGGAGCTCAGCCACAACCCCGAACTCGGCCCACGGGGGGATCCACTTGCGCAATTGGTCGGCCACCTCGGCCGCGAGCTCCACCGAGAAGGGCCCAGGGAGGGGGGCCAGGAGGCACTTGGGGACCTTGAGGCACAGGTTGGCCAGCAAGGCCGCCACGTTCATCACGCGGCGCACGGGAGCCAGATCCCTCACGGACCGCGCCGCGCCACCGACGTCGTCGGCGCAGGCCCGAACAAGGCCGCGACCAGACCCTTCAAGATCATGCGCGAGGTCCGAAAAGAAGACCTCTGTAGAAAGCGAATAGGGATCCCGAGAGAGTACACCCCTGGATGATACCACTGCGCAGCCAGAAGATCGGCACGACATGCCCGAGCGAGGAGGCCACCCCCTCCACCGCCGAGTAGAGGAAGGAGACGAAAGCGAGAAACAACCCAGGGAGGCCCAAGGTCTGACGGATATACTCCATAAGCTGCTGATTCAACGACGGGAAGGCCCGACCGAAGCCGAGCGAGAACAGGAGGGGATGTCGAGGGATTGTGGAGGCAGGAGCGACAACACTCGAGCATGCGAGTCGAGTTCCAGGAGGTTGATCCCGAAGTTGCGCCCGCACACGAAACCACGCTGGCACGGGGGCACGACACGCTGTGCATCAGATTGGATAGCTCGATTCATCGCCGCCGACAGCAATTGCACGCCTGTGTTGCGCAGGTCCAGCACTCTGACGTTGTCGGGGGAACGGGTGCACTCACCATCTCTCAACTCATCGTCGGATCCGGCTTTAGGAAGAAACGCATGAATCGCCATAGAGGCACTGTCGAATATGGCATGTCCCTCCCCCACCCAAGTCTAACGCATGCATCGGACTGTACAGACCGAACGGCAGGCTTCCCAAGCAGAGAAAAGTAACCCATCCATACCAGGGGCAGAATCTTGGGCCGCACGCAAGGCCCGACGCAATAATCCCAAGGATGGCGGCGGGAGGTCCGAGCAGTCGGTCTCGGGGGTCCACCGCGGCAAAAATTCCTTGGCCGCTTCCATATTCCAGGGCTTCTTCGAAAACATGGGTTCCCAGCACTTGGCCAAGGCAGCCGGGCGTTCACCAGGGTCCGCAATCAGGTCAGAGTCAGGGGCGCGAATCGACGTCAGTGATATCCGACGCGACAAAGGAAACCACATACGTGCTTCACGCCCAAGCGCTCGCAACTGTAGACGGGCACCACGGGCGGAAACAGAAGCGCTCAACCTGGCCTCCACCAACTTCCGCTGGAGCTCGAAAGCCTCACGCTGGATCTTGGGCGACCACTCGGCGAACGAGGGAAGATGCATCAGGTTGGCCCCGTTCCCAGAAACGACGATGCGATCACGCGCAGCGGGGTGGGATTCGAGCATACGCCGCGCCGATGTAGCACCCTGTCTCCACGCCACGCGAGCAGTCATCCGAGAGACCTGCAAGAGCGCGCGCACACAGTCAGGCTTGTCTCGGAACGACAGATCACTGACTTCAGCGGCAGCAATCCCCATCATATGCACGCAAGTATCCAGCTGAAACGGGGGGGGCATCCGATCCCAGTGAGCAGCCTCGACCAGCCCACGCAACCGACGCACGAGCAGAATATCACGGCATATGCGGCGGGGGACCAGACGAGCCGAAGCAGGACGAGCAGCCCGTGAAACGACGGGAGCGACGACTGCCGCATGGTCAGGGAGTTCTGCGTCAGACACCGCGGCCGCCGACCCCACGGCGGCAAAGGAAATCTGCAGCTGGCGCACTTGCCAGCCGCGCAGCGACGCGAAGATGCGGCCCAGCACGCGGGCCCTGCCCGAGGCAACCTCGAAGCGCGCGGGCTCGCCCCCCTCGATCTCCAGCACGTCCGCGAAGACCGAACGCCATGCAGGGGCGCTTGCGCGGCGACGGCAACCACCCCGCCGAGCAGCAGGAGCGGGAGCATGCAAGTCGAGAGCGCCATCGTCGTCGATGATGAAGTCGCCATTGACGATCACCGGCACCTTGGACGGGTCCTCACGCGCTTCCCCAAGCGCGCGCCGAATAGTAGCACGCACCAGCTAGATCCCCCCTGCGCTCAACTCGCGGCTGTGGACGTCAAAGATGCGCATGCGACCCCGCGCCGCCTCGAGGATGACGCGAAGCGCACGGCCAGGAAGCAAAGGAGCGCGGCGAACCAGGACAGGATCACCAGGGAGGTGGGCGAGCGGAGGAAGAAGAACCGCGACGCCGCCTCGAGCTCGATCCGCCTGAGCGCTGCCGCAGAAGCTAGAGACAACAATGGTGCGCGGGGCGAAAGAACGCGCGAATTCATCCAGCTGCAGGGCGCCCCGGTGGATCTCCTGCAGCGAGACGATGGACTTGGAGAGGCCGAGCTTGGAGAGGTACTGCACTGTCATCGACGCCTTCGCCCCAGCGCACTGCAGGAGAGCCCTGCAGTTCCACGCGGCCACTCGCAGAGCAGCGGCCTCCCCCCGAGGGAAGATCGACAACATGTGAGAAGACGAGCAGGGTCAAAGACACCTCGCGGAAGCCTCGGGGGGCTCGGACATGAATGAGGCGACCCGCAGTAGCTACTCCGTCGACAAACCCTGCTTCTCGAGCTTGGCAGCATCCCAGTAGAGAACAGCAGGGGCGTCGCCAGCAGTAACTTCCACCTTGAGCACCTTGTCCCACCCGATGGAGACCATGCCGCGCTCTCTCTCTCTCTCTCTCTCTCTCTCTCTCTCTCTCTCTCTCTCTCTCTCTCCGAGAACAGTCGAAGGTGTGGGAAGGCGTCCGAGATCGAGGCTCTGCAACGCCGCAAAGTGATCTCGGTCTTGATCTGGCGAAGCGACTTGTCGGGGCCGATGTGGACCCTCGTCTGCGCGTCGCTGCCAGGGGCATCAGCATAGAACTCTTTCCAGTCGCGCCCGATCTTGAGACCACGGGGGGGCCGCAAGACCTCGCGGCCAGCAGGGGCGACCAGGCTGGCGAAGTGATCGGCGAAGCGCTTGCACGGGAGGTCGCCCTTCGCCTCGATCTTGTACTCCTTCTCATCGGACCCAACCTCCGAAAGAAAGGACACCAGGCACTTCGACCTGGCCTCGAGAGAGGTCGGACGTTGCGCAACAGCGATGAGGAGCGTGCCATCTGGGTCCCTGTCGAATCCTTGCGGCACTTGTGGGGGAGGTCGGAGCCTCTCCTCAGCAACTTCGAGGTGGCGTCTGAGTTCCTCAAGCTGTGCACGTAGCTGAGAGATATCATCATCATGGGAAGCCAGGCGGCGTTCACAATCAACCAACTTCGCGGAATGCTCGTCGATCTGGGACTGCAACCTGCGCGCGAGGGCGTCCACCTGGGGGCGCACTGCGTTCTGAACTTGTTGGTCGATCGACTCGGATTGCCCAGAGACTTGGGCCCGCAGCGCATCAATACAATTGAGGAGCACGGCGTGATTGGCGGTAACCGTTGTACCGACAGACTCTGCCACCGAGGCGGTGAAAGCCTCTCGCATGCCAGCGAACTCGTCCCTGCACAGTTGGTGAAGATAGTCGTCACTTGTCCACACATCATCGTCAGCCTGATCACCGTCAGCACCCGAAACAGTCCGCGCAGCACGCTTGCGAGGCGGGGCAGAACCCGCGCCTTTGCCTCCTTTGCCGCGGCCGACGGACTCCTGGGACGCGAAGGTCGGTGCGAGGTCGAGACTCTCCAGCAGAGCGGGTGAGATCGGTGTCCCCGAGGGACCATCTGCCATGCTGAGCGGCCTGAACGACGAGAGCACTGGGTGAGCAGGGGCCCAACTCCTGCAGTAGACTCACAAGGAAGACGCCAGGCACAGGTGCCTTGCTCGCCGCGGGCTAGCGGTATCCAATCGTGCCAATGCGGGCGCAGCCCGCGACAGCATGGGTCTTGAGCCAAAACGGATACGGAAGGAGGAGGAGCAGGAGGAGGAGGAGGAGGAGGAGGCGAGCCGCTTTTGGTTGTACTAGGCTGTCTCGCCTGAGTAAATATTCCATGTCCCGAGGTGCTGCGATCCCATGATCATAGCCCGTGCAACGTAAAACAAACAAAACAAAACAACAAAACGAGGAGGAGGAGGAGGAGGAGGAGGAAGGAGAAGGAGGAGGAGGAGGAAGAGGAGGAGGAAGAGGAGGAGGAGGAGGAGAAAGGAGGAGAGAGGACACCGCCGACAGACGACGACCACGACCACCACCACCACCACAGCCACGACGACACGGACGACCACGACCGCGACGACGACGACGACGACGACGAAGACGACGACGACGACCTCCTGGCGCCGCGCGGGAGAGCGGCGACGCGCGGCGTGCCCAGCCATCTGGTCGAGGGTGGCGAAGTCCTGTGCGTCGACCGCTCAGGGGGAAGACGAGCGAGGAGGGGGAGAGGCTCCTCGAGCCGTGGGGGAAATCACGACAAAGACTTGTTGGCTGTGTTCGACGTCGGGAGGCCCTCAACCGAGCCCTGGGAACATCAAAAAGTAACTCAGGACACCGGTCGAACTCGGCCAGGCTCAACTCGGCCAGGCCCGATTCAGCTCAACTCGGCCAAGCTCAACTCAGCCAGGCAGAACTCGACCAGGCTCCACTTGGCCAGCGGCTGAGCTCAGGGCTGGCCGAGCTGAGCCTGGCCGAGTTCGACCTGGCTGAGTATCCTGGCCGAGTCGAGCTGGCCGAGTTGAGCCGGCCGAGTTGATCTCGGCAACCCGCTGCAGCCGGAGGTCCAGCCGAGTTGATCCGGCCAGGCTGAGCAGGGCCGAATTAAACCCTGCCGAGTTGAGCCCGGCCAAATTGACGCCTGGCCGAGTTGATCCAGGCCGAATTGAGCCCCTGCCGAGATGATCCAGCCGAGTTCGTCCAGGTCCGAGTTGAGCCTGCCGAGTTAATCTGGGCAAGTCGATCCCGGCCCAGTTGAGCCGACCGAGTTTGTCCTGGCCGAGTTTATCCGAAGCGTTCCTGCCCCAGACAAGCCCAAAAAGCCCAAGAAAAGCCCAGGGGGAGCCCCAGAAAACTCAACCAAAGCCCAAGGGAGCCCTCTCTGGAGGCCCTCTTGAGCTTCCCTCACTGCCCTGTTACGGCCCCTCCAAGAGCCCAGGGAAAACCCAGGGGCAGCCCACTTGGCCCCATCTGAGAGCCCAAGGTAAAGAGCAAACGATCCCCAATAAGACCCCAAGAGAGCTCCACATGAGCACCGAAACCCCCCAGAATTGCGCGCAAGAGCGACTCATTGAACCCGTCTAAGAGCCATCTTGAAGCCGTCTTGGGACCCACTTGGAACCGTCTTGGGGCCCCTTGGGCCCGTCTCAGGGCTCTACGGGAAACCCAAACGAGTCCCAGGAGGACCCAAGAGAGCTCCACGTGAGGCCCTGGACCCTCGAGAACCCCAGAGCCCCAACTCTATGCATAGAGTTGGGCCTCGCGCGCCAAAGGACCTTCCTGACCCGTCTTATAGGCCCTCTTGGAGCCGTCTTGAAGCCCTTGCGACCCCGTCTGAGAGCCCTGGGGAAAGCCTAACCAAGACCAAAAAGTACTCCAAGAAGAACCCAACTCTTTGCATAGAGTTGGGCCTTGCGAGCCAGGGGGGCTCCTTGGACCCCTCTGGGGGCCCTCTTGGAGCCGCCTTGAGGCCCAGAGCCCGTCAGAGAGCCCTAGGAAAAGCCCAAACGAGCCTAAAGAGACCCCAAGCGAGCTCTGCGTGAGGACCTAGACCTTCCAGAAAGCCCAGAGGCCCTAACTCTAAATGCATGGAGTTGGGCCTTGCGCACTAGAAGGACCTCTTGGACCATTGTTGGGGCCCTCTTGAGCCCGTCTTGGGCCCCTCCCGTCGTCGTCCTCATCATCGTCTGTCGTGGTCGTGGTCGTGGTCGTGGTCGTGGTCGTGGTCGTGGTCGACGTCGACGTGGTCGTGGTCGTCGTCGTCGTCGTCGTCGTCGTCGTGGATCGTCCTCGTCGGGGAGATGGAAGCGGACGGCGGGACGAGGAGGAGGCAGAGAAAGAGGGGGACGGGCAGGAGGAGGAAGAGGAGGAGCAAGGGAAGGATGGGGGAGACTGAGAAAGAGCGCGACAGGAGAATGCGGAAAGCGGGGAACGAGAAGACGGAGAGACGGAGGGAGGAGGGAGGGACGAGGGAGAGAGGGAAAGGAACGGTGGGACGAGACAGGAAGTGGAGAAAGAGAGGGAGGGAGGCGGCAAAAAAAGGTGGAGGACAGGGAAGAGGGGACAGGAGGAGGTTGAAGAGGAGGAGCTTAATTCTTGACGCTTCTCATATGCTCACAAGCCCGTCGAGACAAGGTGCCTAGGCGAGATGCCTTAATCAGGGATGGATGGGAGCATGCAGTGTAGCAGCATGCAGCGCAACAGAGGGCCACAAAAGAACCCGAAGAGAGGCTGAAGATGGCCACAAAGGGCTCTAACAAACGCCCAAGGGAGCTCCAAGAGAGGCCCAAGAGGCTCCCAGAGGGCGCCCTGAAGGCGGAGGGCCAACAACTGAAATATGTGTTGGTTGTGCCCGTCGTTGGTTCCAGTGGGAGCTTCTGAAGGCTTTGAGGAGCCCTTCAGACACCCCCCAGCAGAGCCCGGAGAGAGCCTTTAGATAGCCCCAAGAGAGCTAGCTCCAAGAAGAGGCCCAGAAGAGCTCCAAGAGAGAGCCCAAGAGAGCTCCCGCAGAAGACCCTGGAGGCGCCAGCCAAGGCACTGGTCGAATTGAGCCTGGCCGAGTTAATCCGGCCGAGATGATCTGGCCGAGTTGAGCCTGGCCGATGTAAGCCGGTCCGAATCGATCCTGACCGAGTCGATCCTGGCCGAGTTGAGCGCCGGCCGAGTTGATCATGGCCGAGTTCGGCTGCTGCCACTCGAACTGAAAGACCGGCCCCAGGGAAGAATCGAGACGTCGGAGGGCCCAGTCGGAGGCAACTCCTTCTAATCCTGCAGGATTTTGACGCGTCTGGCTTGTTCGGGGTCGCTGGAGGGTCTCCTCGTCGCCACGGCTGGATGCCCTTCGAAATCGACTCGAACCGCACCCCAAATGATTCTGAAGAGAGGGAACCAAACCTCCTGAATTAAAACAAATCGAGACGGCCAAATTGTTTCGTAATTTGCACCCTCTGGAAGATCAAGCCCTGGGACCGTGAAGATTTGAATTCAGCTTGGAACTATCAAATGCCAAACCTGGGGATAGGGTCGAAAGCTCCAGGGATCACGCAAAAGTCATGGCATCGGCAAAGAAATATATCGTGAATATATATATATATATATATATATATATGATTGTCCTTTTCGGGGGCTCCTGGGGAAGCCCTGGTGGCCACCCTCGAAATCATGGTCGGAACGTGATCTGCGAGAGAGAGAAACAAAAACTCACTCCTCCCCGTCCTCCCTCCTCCTTCTCAGCACTCTCCTTCCTCACCCCACTACCACCACCAACACCACCACCATCATCATCGTCAACATCAGTATCGTCATCATCAGTAGCGTCATCAGTATCACCATCATTTTCATCATCATCATCATCATCATCAACATCATCATCACCATCATCAACATCAGCAACAGCATCAATCATCATCATCATCATCAGCAGCAGCAGCATCATCATCATCATCATCATCATCATCATCATCATCATCATCATCATCATCATCATCATCATCATCATCATCATCATCATCATCATCATCATCATCATCATCATCATCATCATCAACATAATCATCATCATCATCATCATCATCATCATCATCATCATCCTCAGCATCAGCATCATCATCAGCATCAGCATCATCATCATCACCACCACCACCACCATCAGTATCATCATCATCAGCAGCATCATCATCATTATAATAATCAGCAGCAGCAGCATTATCAACAACAACATGACCACAACCATCACCATCACCATCACCATCAGTATCAGCATCAGCACCATCAGCAGCAGCATCATCATCATCACCATCATCAGGAGCAGCATCCTGGTCATCATCGTCGTCATCACCATCAACAGCAATATCATCACCATCACAAGCATCATCATCAGCAGCATCATCATCAGCAGCATCATCATCAGCGTCATCATCAATATCATCCTCCTCATCATCATCATCCTCATCCTGATCCTCATCCTCATCCTCATCCTCATCCATATCCTCGTCCTTCTTATCCTCATCCTCAACTTCCTCCTGCTCCTCGTCGTCAGCGTCGTTGTCGGCGCCGTCGTCTTCGTCATCATCGTCATCGTCATCGTCATCGCCATCATCATCAGCAGCAGCACCACCATCATCATCGTCCTCATCAGCATCCTCATCATCTGCAGCATCAGCATCAGCAGCAGCAGCATCATCGTCGTCGTCGTCATTGTCGTCGTCGACATTGTCATCGTCATCGTCACGCCCTCCCTCCTTCCCCCTCTTCCTCCTGCCCCTCCACCTCGACAGTGGTTGAGCTGCCTCGCGCGGCGACGGGCCGTCCTTGTAGGCTAGGCAGCTGGTGTAGACCTTCACCTTCGCCAAGAGAACGCGGGGCAAGGACTGTGACCACGACGAGGACGAGGGTAAGGAGGACGAGGACGAGGAGGACTAGAGTAAACCGAATGTGTATCAACGGTGCTGCAATACACCCTCCCATCCCACGTCCCCTCCTCGTAAGTCCGTACACGCACTCCTCTTCAACACGGCGACACGCCCCTTCAGAAGACGAGCTCCCCAGGAGCCTGCCATTCAGGCGAGAGCCCCGTCTTGAAAAGGAACGGGCCTCCATTGCCCTAGCTAACTTTATGTAGCGCCAAGATGTTGGATTACAGGGTTTTAGGAAACGTCCAGCGAGAACCCCGCCTTCAGAAAGAACCGCACTCCACAGGTGCAACTGTTGCACGTGTGTAAGCTTGTATCCGTTGAATGACAGGAAGTCTTGAGAGCACCGTATTGACAAGGGGCCACCCTCAACCCGCAAGCGTGCACTCCGACGCCCTCCTCCTGCCTGAGTTTGTGCGCCGAGGGAGCCGCGGGTGCAGTTACCACGGAGTGCCACGTGGCGCTACGTCCAGGCCTAAAAGCGTGCGAGCTGTCAGACAAAACTGGCAGCGCCGCGCGGCCTTTGTCCCGCGGCCGGTGGCGCGGCCTGCTGCCAGTTGGCGGCGTGCGGTTCACCGCAGAGAGCCTGGCTCGCCTTTTCATCTCGTGCGCAGACGATCCAGAAGGCCGAACATGTTTTGTCTGCCGAGCCTTCGCACGAGCGCGTTTGGCACCTTAGTGCGAAGTTCGTGGGCGAGGGTAGCCAAGGCGGATGACACTCCCGCCCCGCTGCCAGGCGGTCTGGCGCTGGGCTGCGGCGGCGGCTCCAGTAGGAGAGCATCTTCATACTCCTCCTCCTGGAGGGCCTCCTCCCCCTTCCTCCAACCTTCCTGCAGGTAAGAGGCCAGCGCGCAAGCGGCGCCTTGTCGCTCCACGTGCCGTCCGCGGAGGGCCTCGCCAGCCCACGGGCGGCAAGGAGCGACACAGCCAGGAAGGGTGAGAGAGGCGAGAGTGATGAGGAGGCAGGCAGGGCGCAGACGGAGATCTGTCCGAAACCGTCGCCCTACCCTCCACCCTGCCCTGCGACCACACGTACAGCCTATCGCAGGCGGGCAGGATCGAGAAGAGAGACCTGCTGCCCTCGCGGGTGAAAGTAGGTCGAGATACGCACGGCCTTCACGAGGGACATGTAAAGCTGGCGTGTGATCGGGGCTCCGTGCAGTAGTCCGTCCTGGGAAGAAGAGGAAAATGAGAAGGAGGGAGAGGAAGAGGAGGAGGGGGAGGAAGGGGGAAGAGGAGGGAGTGAGGTCATAGACCCTCGAGCTCAAAATTACCAGGAGACACGAAAACCCGTTGCAAAAGTGCACCTTGCGCAGGGGCCCTGAAAGAATACTTCTGCGAGCCCCATACACATTACACGGTATCCAGCGACTACGCGGCACCACAGAGCACCACACTACAGCACCACACTACACCAGGCCGCCAAGTCAAGCTTCGGGGCACAACACGCGAAACCACACTACAACGACATGGCACCACACGGCACCCTCGGGACACAATGATACCAGGCACAACCCAGCACGAAGGCATTGCACGGCGCACCACGCAAGACCCCACACGGCACCATCACCCCGCTCCACGCGACGCCCTTCTAAAACCCAGAGCCTCGGGGCGCCACGCACAGCACAGCGTAGCTTCACGACACGACACCGCATGACACTGGACCACGATCTGGACCGCGACGGCACCATTTGGCACCATAATATCGCGCCACATGGCACTGAGCCACCAATGCGGACCTTGGGGCATCCCGCACGGCATCAGGTGTGAGCGAACCCGCACAGACACGTGGAAGACATTCAGGGAGAAAGTGCTGGCGATCTGCAGCATGGCTCTCATCCTGCGCATGCCACGGACAAATCCTGAACGAGCTCTCACCGACCTCATGAGCAGGGGTCCAGCTTTTCCCGAACTCTTTGATCGGAAACCGGCGTACACGCTGGGCTAAGGGCACACACAGGCGAATGGGGGGAAGAGGAGGGCGGCCGCGGAGGAGAGACGCGGGCCCAGACCTCTTTTTCATCAGAGCCAGCGAGGGCCCCTGGAGGTCGAAAATAACCCCAAACCGACCGCTCATACTTTTTTCCGGAGCATCGGATCTCTGGGGGAGGAAGCCTCACGTGGAGTGCGCAGGGAGCCTCAGACACCGGAAACCAGGGGCTCTTCCTGAGCACGCGACGCTAGAAGAAGCCTGGCAGTGTGCGCCTGAAAAGTGGCGATTCGGCCGGCCTTGAGCGCATCGTGCGCCTTGAAGCCACAAGGATGCGGAGAGAGGTACCAACACAAGTCGCCCGCGCGTTCTGCACAGAAGGACAGCGGGCAAAATAACCCTGCAACGCAGACTGGCCATGCAGTCGGATATCCGTCAAAGAGAAACTTGCCCACGCTTGTTGTCAAACGCCCGATTGCCCATCTTACCTCTTGCCCTTATCTGGTTCCTCTACCACTTCATCATCAGCACCATCACCATCCTCCATGCATATATATATATATATATATATATATATATATATATATTGTATGTATACATGTGTACTTGCATACACATGCATAAGCGTGTACAACGTGCATGTGTGAGGGGGCTCTTTCTCACTGAAGTCTCGAGCGATATGGCGGGGGCCTGGATGTCGGGCACGTCGTTGTCGCTCATGAGCCACTTGAGGTCCGAATCGGCAGCCGCCATCGCCGCCGACGCCTCCTCTGGAGAGATTTGCGGCAAGGGCATCGCAGCGGATCCTTCGCGTAGCGGGTTCGCCCCTAGCTGGCGCTCGAGACCTACTTCGGCCATGCCCCAGCGACGACCGCTTACATTGCAACCCGCTTCCCTGGAACGCAACATGGCCATCATGCGGTCAGGAATTTATCGCGCCGCGCTCCAAAGAGGGGGCCAGCCGAGGGACGAGGGAATCCCCCGAACGGGGGCCTCGGCCGCCACCGCGCCCGGGCCGGCAGCCTGAGCCAGTCGGCGGCGGGTGACCTCACCGGAGTTGGGTCACTTTGAACGGCCGCCTCAAGACGGCCGCCGGGGAGGCGCCTCGGCGGCCCCTGGGCTGGACAAAAGGGGGCCCCGACGAGCCCGGCCGCGCCCGGGCCGGCCGCCAAAGGCGACCCACTCTCGCCCAAGGGGGGGGGAGGGTGGGCGACCCACTCCCCCCGTGAAACCATCCGTTTCTTCTCAACGTATGGCCTGGAGCGCGTCTCAGAGGGCCGCCTTGTGCGAAAAACGTGCCCATGGCCCTGGCCATAAGTACCTCACCGACCCTCGGCGCCAGCAGCCTGAAACCCTTTCCCCCTTCGACTCTGTGCTCGACGAAGAAGTCGTCGCCGAGCTGCTTTCATGGCCTGGCGACCTAACGCTGCGGCCTACCACGACCTCTGGGGCCCGCCCAACGCCGCAACACGTCCTACAATACGCGCTGTAGACGACGCCCTCCAGGTCATCGTGGACACGCCAGCGGCCGCCCGTTAGGTGGAGCGTGCCGTGCCCATTCTTCGCTTCGCCGTGAGCGACACGTAATACCTGCCCACGCCCTGGTGGCCATCATCGTCACCACGAGCGTCCAGGATGACCACGTCCAGGAGGTCGACGTTGACGGCGTCGAGCTCTGTCTGCGGCGTTCAACCCTCGAACCGCCCTCGACCTGCTCGGCATAGTCGTAGAACTTGTTAAGCGTGAACTTTTCATGGATCTTGTCTGCATGGTCTGCGGCCACGTTGTTGACCACGTTGCGTTCGGAGTGCTCTGTCCAGCAAGGCGCCTCAGCACCGAAGATCATATACTCCCATAGCCCCCCCAAAAGCCGCAGCGAGCAGTACAAAGGCACCCGAATGCGGCGCAGCACGGCCTGCGACATCCGTGCCATGTCGACGTAACCAGCCTGCACTTTCTGCAGACAGGCCAACTCCATGTCGAGAAGCATCACCAGGTAATCCCCTTCGTAGTCGAGCGGCGGGCTGCTCCAAAACGAGCAGCCTATCTCCATCCACCTTGGCTCCGCAATGTGGGCGTCCGGGTCGACGTAGACGTGGAGCGAGCGGATACGCCGCCCTGGCGCGCTCGTCTGGGTCCTGTCCAAAGCTGCCTTACACCCGTCCCTCGAAACGCTCATCTCCGTCGAAGGAGCCCCCGCAGGCATCACTGCGTGCCAAGGCCCACACTTCGAGCAACGTCACCCACGCGAAAGCGCGAATCCCCAGCGAGAGGCCCTCGTCCACCACCGCGAGCTCGAGCGCCACGACCACGATGATGAAGACGAGCGGAGCCTTGGCCGTCGGCGGCGTAGCGCCGCTCAAGTTCGTCATCATGTTTGGCACCGTCGTCCGCAAGAAGGCCTAAGAGGAAAGCCGTTCGGCCTCGGGGACACCGCGATGAAAGCCGTGATGAAAGCCGTTCGCCCTTCTCCTCGACGAAGGCCAATGCCTGAAGGACCGACCGAAGAACTTTCTGGCCGCAGGGCTCCGCGAACAGCACCTCCAAATCATCCACAACATGTCCATCGTGCTGCGGCCAACGCACGCGGCGCGCTGCAAACAGCCAAACCATCCGACGCACATGCCGTACTCGCGCGCGCACCGTGCGGGCACTGGCAGCACCAGCGCCCTGGGCGAGGGATGCATTGGGGTCCCGCGTCAGCTCTTCCGATCGCTTTCGGAGGGCTCCGCCTTCGTGATGAGGCGCGCTAGCTCCACGACCCATCGGACCTTATCCTTCCCCTCCACCTCGCGACGCCCCCTCGCATTCCCCCCACAAGCCTCCAGCAGCCGCGCACGGCGCGTGCGCCCTCCAAAGCGGCCGCCGCTCGCTGGCCCGCAACTGCCTGGAGACAACGACGGGCCTCGCAGTCCGCCGCCTGAGAAACCATCGGCTGCCTCCGCACGCTGTCCATGGCCTGGCCGACTAGCACCACCTCCGGCCGCAACCGCTGCCGCCTGCACGTCCGGGCCTGGACGCGAGACGCCTCTGCAACAGCATGAAGCTGCTTGCCGAGGCCTGCGGCATCCATGTAGCTGAAGCCGCTCTCCCCCACTACTTGTATCTGCTGCAACCAGGACTCCGCCTCATGTGCTCTGCGAGAAGGTCTGGGCGGTCTGGTGGCACACCACCGCGTTGCAGAAGTGCACGGACCTCTTCTGGCAGGTCGGCCCAGGCGTTCTCGACCTGCTGTGGACAGCCGCCATCGCGCGCGACCTGCCGCCCTACGCGCTCTGCGTGATCGCCCCCCCAACCTGAAGTGAATCCCTGAGCCTAGACACCCACGACACGAGAGTACACGATCGTTGAGCTGCGACCGAAGTCATATGTCTATGTGTATGTATGTGTATGGATGTGTGGATGAATGGATGTATGCATGCATGGATGCATGGAAGTATGGATGTATGGATGTATGGATGTCTGGATGTATGTGTGCATGTGTGAATATCTGCATGTATGCATGTGTACATGTATGCATGGGCATGTGTGCGTGTATGAATGTATGCATACATGTGTGTATGCGTGCATTTTTGTATGTATGAGTGTGCGTACGTACATACATATGTTTGTATGTATGCACGTGTGTACGTATATATCGTGAGTACGTATGCATGTAAGTGGGTAAATATGTACGTGCGTGTGCACGTATATATGGATGTATGTGTATGTGTGTATGTATGTATGTATGTGTGTAAGAATGTGTGCACGTGCGTATTTAGGTAGGTAGGTAGGTAGGTATGGATGTGTATGTGTCCGTGCGTGTGAATGTGTATGCATGTATGTATGCATATATGTATGTATGTATGTATGTATGCATGTGTGTATGTATGTATGTATGTATGTATGTATGTACGTACGTACGTACGTACGTACGTACGTATGTATGTATGTATGTATGTATGTATGTATGTATGTGTGTATGTGTGTATGTGTGTATGTGTGTATGTGTGTATGTGTATGTATGTGTGTTTGTATGTGTGTATGCATGTATGTGTGTATGTGTATGTGTATATGTGTGTATGCGTGTATGTGTGTTTGTATGTATGTAGCTGTATGTATATGTATGTAGGTGTATGAATGTGTATGTATGTGTGGATGCATGTATGTATGTATGCATGCATGCTGTCATGTATGTGTGTATGTATGAGTGCAGTAGTGTATGTGTGTGCATACATGTACGTATGCAGGTATTTATGCATGTATGTATGCATGCATATATGTGGCAAGTATGAGTGTATGTGTGCATGTATGTATGTATGTACGTATAAATACACGTACGTATGTATGTCTGAATGAATGTATGTATGCATGTATGCATGTGTGTATGTGTGTATGCATGTGTGTATGTATGGATGTATGTATGTTGTATGAATGTATGTCTGTACGACTGTATGTCTGTGTGTCTGTATGTCTGTATGTGTGTATGTGTGTCAGGCCTTCCCAAGCAGCATCTACGGCCCGACAATCCCAGGGGATGGAGTGCCCGAGGCCTTCCCCTGGGAGGGGCGGCGCGCCGCCTTGGTGCCCCTGCTTGCCTTCCTCATCCGGCAGAAGGGGCGCAAAAGCGAGCGAAAGGACAATCTTCTTCCGCAATGGCTCTCCTTCCTAAGCTCCGACTGCCCCTAATTGCTCTCACATTTGGGCAGAAACCCCAGCCGGTACAGTCAGCAGCACCTCACGAGGTCCCTGGCCATACACGGGGTGCGTGACCTGACGTCTCCGGAACTGGCCAACTACCAGCCTGCTGGGGTTGTCCTGGCCGCTGCGGGCCCGAGCGCCTCCACCAAGGCAACAGCAAACAAAAGAAGGGCCGTCTGCCAAGGCCAGTGGTCCAAACCCAGCCAGAGCACCGTCAGACGCCAGTGTGCGACGCCGACGCGGCCCAAGCCCAACCCCAGGCAGAGGTAGCCAGGAGAACCCCAACCCAGAGGCAGGTAACAATACCGCGGACGTTGCATCCATCACGTGGCTGGACACAGCGCCCGCTGGGCCCACACAGCTCGAGGGGGCACTCTCCAAGCCCCCCTCCCAAGGAAGCCCTTGCACCTGCCCTGTCGACCCAAAGACCTCAACGCAATCGTGGGAAGCGCCGAGATAGAGGTTGACTTTTCGCCAGACCAACGCGACGGCAGCCCACAAGACGCGGACGCCCCAGACAGTGACCACCGGACAGACCGCGGCACGCAGCCCCACACCACCGACCCCGCGCAGGCGACGGCAGGCAACGCTGACCCAACGGAGGCGGCGCACGCTTCCCCTCATCCCCCGCAGGAGGACCGGCCCTCACCGAGCAAGGGAGCAACTGGAAGCGACTGAAACCGGGAGGTTATCCAAGACTTAATTCCGGAGTTAAGTCGGCCCGACTCCGGGATAAAGGCCACCCCGCGGAAAACTTAACTCCGGAGTTAAATCGCCGCCAAGCTGGCGGACGCAGCAGCTATTACACGAATTAACTCCGGAGTTAAGTGATTCCCACGCCGCGCGCCCCAGCCAGGCACAGACTTAACTGCGGAGTTAAGTCGCCGCGGCATTGGGTTGGGTGCCGCGACGATTGAGAGGACAGGAAGTGGAAGAGGAGGAGGAGGGCGACGACGAGGAATATGAGGAGGAATGAGGAGGACGAGGAGGAGGAAGAGGAGGAGGAGGAGGAGGAGGACAGGCTAGGTGCCTTCGCGTCATGTATGACATCCTACCCCTCCCTCCCATCCCTTACCATGGCGTAGATTCCCTCTCTACTCGCACAGGCGGATGTCGAGCAGGGCAATGATCCCGAAAGGGTACGCGATGCATTGTAGAGCACGGCGTGGCATGGCGTAGAAGAGCACCGCAAAGCTTAGTATGTCACAGCATGGCGTGGCGTGGCGCGGTGAAGAATTGCATCACAAAGCTTTGCAACGCAAAGCGTGGCATCGCACAGCGGCCCCGAAAATAACATTGCATAGCATGGCGTTGAAGATCTAAGCGTAGCATGGCAGAGCACGAGGCGGCACTTAAGCACTGCATATCACAGCTTCAGCTGAAGGCATGGCATCGCGCAGCGGAACGCAACCTAGCATTGCATTGCACGCCGTGGCATGGCAAGGGAAATGACGCCAGCGCTGCAGCGGGAGCACGATTCGGAACGAGCGGAAGCGCGGAAATGAGGCCAGCGCCGCAGCGGGAGCACGATTCGGAACGAGCGGAAGCACGGAAATGAGGCCAGCGCTGCAGCGGGAGCACGATTCGGAACGAGCGGGGCCCGAAAATGAAGCCGGCGCCTCAGCGAGAGCAGCACTTTGAAAACATACGCAGGCGAAAACCCAACTCCTGGGAATCCTGCGTGTAGAAAAACAATACGCGGAGGGGGGGAGGGGGGGCGAACGCTCCCAACCCGTCGTCAGGGGAAGGAGGATAGTAGTATTCATATTGAATAATTGTGGAGGAGGTGGGGGAACATCAGGGCACGGGGAGCCGAACGCCGCAGGGGCGTGACTGCGGCCACGCGCCCGGGTCGCCGCCGAGCTCCACCTCGCCCCCACCCCCCCTTTTTTAGGCGGGCGCGATGCGCAGACTGCTTCCCGCCAATCGCAAAGCAAAACTACGGAGTGAGCGAGGTGCACCGACAACGACGAAGCATGCGAAGAGTCTGGGAAAATAATCAAAATCAGACACGCTTCGATGCTCGCCGACCTTCGCCTCCCCCTACCCCCCCCCCCCCTAGCCCGACTACAAAGGCCCTGGGCGCTGGATCCGCTCTTACTTCCGGCGCCTCTTCGGGCATGGCTCGTCGCCTGGCCTGGCGTCGGGCCCGCCGGCGCCGCCGCCGTCGCCCGGGGGGGCCCCCGGGGGGGCGGCGCCGCCGTCGCCCGGGGGGGCGCCCGCCGACTCCGCGCCGTCGAAGTGCAGCTGGTCGAAGCTACAAACGCGGACGGCGGGCTGCCACCTCGGCGCGACCAGCGGGCGCGGAGCGGGCGACGGCCGCGGCCGACTGCGACCCGCCCCCCCGGCAATATATGCTGGAAGCTCTAAAACTTGTCTGCGTGCTAAACCTTCCAGAAGAAATCGCCGAGGGGCCCCAGTGTCTCGAGGTGCGTCGGCCAAGCCCGACTGAATTTGGTCATAGTATGCGAGGCGACCAATGGGGGGCGGCGCGCGGCGCGAGGGCCCGCGGCCGCCGCAGCGACGCGCTCGGCACGCGCGAATCCATGGAAACTAAGCCAGCCGCAACGACCTGTCGATGCACGTGGGCGGCTCGATGTCGCGGCAGTAGGCGCCCACGTCACCCTCGACGTCAGAGATCATGACCTCGGAC